ACAGGATTCTGAGCATGATGTTTGAGAGTACAGGGGAGGCCTCTCTTTCAGAATTGGGCACAGAAAATGAACCTGTAAAAGCAGCTACACCCTGACAGGTAGCTTGGTCGATGGTGAAGAGGTCCCTGCTAAAACCAGACATACACGACCCCTAGTTGCTGCAGTCCTAGAAATGCACAACTGTATAAGGCACAGATACTAGCACTGCACTACTTTTTGGTAATATGGCAAGCACCATTGGCATAGTACATGCTGACCTTTTTAAAGACACCAGCACTGCAGTATTTCATAGTGAAGAGGCTAGCGCCAGCAGTTCAGTGGAAGCTGGTGAGGTGGCTAGCAGTAAGTTACGTAATGCGACTGCAGCCATCAAGAAGGTGCTATGGGCCAGTGCCCAAATCCAGATGCACTTATCCATTTGCATGAGAGGCATGTTACTCCAAGCTACCCCAGCACGAAAGGCCTCCCAAAAAAGATTGTGTCTGTGGGAATAAGACGTGACATCCGGGTTTTTGTCCATCCTGTCCTGGCCTCTGCCTCGAGGACTGCTTCCATCGCTGCCACACTGTAGTGAACTTTTAGTCTAGGGTACAGCACGGCACAGTATATAAGGTACGCAATTATGAACAAGATGGATCTCTAAAGATGTTACGTAGTGGGGAAATTGTTGCATTTTGAGAGACCCTAAAATTAAAGGCTGACAAGGTTGTAATTCTGAAAAATTTAAGTTACAAAAAAGTTTTTTAAAAAAAAAGTTGTTTTATTGAGTCAATGTTATATTGTTACCATGTGTTATTGTTAACTGTTGTTTTTTTGAAGGAATGCCAATCCGCTGTAGCACTAATCTCTGCATTTTGACAGTAGTGCCTGTAGTGCTGTAGGGGGAAACTTCTCCATCTGCAGTTAAAAAAACAAAAAACAAAACATATGCCCAAGCATTAGAAGCGTGGAGTGGTCAGCAGGAGCTATACTTTGGCATATGCTTTATTTTCACTTTTTTTTTTTTTTTTTCTGGCAGGGATTTATTCATCCACATAACACCTGGGGTAGTTGATCCACGGAATATCCTATTGCCCCAAGCATTAGAAAGGAATTTTTTCCCCCCACTGAGCGAATTTGATCATGATTCATTGTGGGGGGTTTTTTGCCTTCCTCTGGATTAACTGTGGGTATAGGATTGTGCATATGGGTGTTTTCTGTATATTTTTCTTGTTGGTTGAACTAGATTGCTTAGTGTTTGTTTTTTCAACCTCACTAGTTATGTAACTATATAACCGATCAATGTGAATGGAGGAATCTATTAGGTTCTCTTTTTTTCAACATTAGGAGATTGCGGTGGTAAGAAAACTATAGCTCTTATGCTTCATCATACAATTTTTTTCTGGTAGAGTTATTTTTCATCCACACATTTCAATGAGAATGGAGGAATCTGTCCACAGGCTGAACAAAAAAAAAGAACATTACATGTATGCTCAACATTAGGAGTGTGGCAGAAACTCCTAATGCTGGCCATACATGTAATTATCCCCTTTTGGAAAGCAGACACTCCAAGGTATTTTCTAAGAGGCATGGTGAGTATTTTGCAGATCTCAATTGTTGCCACAAATGTTTTGAAAATGAAGAAAGAAAGCGAAAATGTTTTTATTTTCTTTTTTCATTTTTCAATGCCTTGTGAGATCTGTAAAATACTCACCATGCCTCTTAGCAAATACCTTTTGGGTGTCTACTTTCCAAAAAGGAGTTATTTGGAGGGTTTGGACTAGTGCTTCACAGTAATGAAAATTCAGGTGCTGAAACTGAAAATTCAGGATGCACTTGGCCAAAAACTGAAAAGGACAGTTTTTAAAAATTTTTATTTCTTTTTTAATTCAATTAATGTGGCTGCGTTTTTTGTATTGAAGTCTATGGGGACGCGACTTTGCATGAAAGTCTATGGGGATGCGTTTTGCATTAAAGTCACTAGGAGGAATTTTGCATAAAAATCTGAGACCTGACTTTGCATGAAAGTCTATAGGATGCAACTTTGCATGTGAGTTGCTTTGGCACATTTCTTTTATAATAAAAACTGAGAAGCCATTATCGGTATCATTATCGGCACTTTTTTTCCTATCGGCAAAATGCCAATAACACTATTTTCGGCCGATACGTTTTGACTGCTGATATATTGGTGCATCCCTAGTTTGTACTGTCCTCGCATATTAGGGCCTCCAAAACTGTGATAGTCAGGAAGTGAAAAGAGAAAATGATGCCCTTTGAAAGCCTGAAGGTGCTCATTGGTTTTGGGCTGCTGTATGTGGCTAGGCTCCTAAGAAGTCTCACATGTGGTATCCACATAATCTGGAGAAGTAGCAGAATGTGTTCGGGGGTGCAATTGCACATATACCTATGGCATGTGTGAGAAATATCTAAGTGACAACTTTGTTTTAAAGATGTTCCAAAGGCTCAACATGCTTCTCAGCAAATATCTTCATGTCTTTTTGCCACACTCCTAATATTGGACATACATGTAATGTTTTTTTTTTTTTTTTTTTATCCTGTGGACTGATCGAAAAAAAGAACCTAACAGATCCCTCTATTTACATTTTTCATTGATCGATGTGGATGAAGAAAAAAATGAGAACTTTTTTTTTGTCATTTTCCAGAAATTTGTGGCAAAAAATAAAATCTTCCATGGACTCAACATGCCTCTCAGCATATACAGTACCTTGGGATGTCTGTCAAAGAAGGGGTCATTTGCAGGGTGTTCTTTCCTGGCATTTTAGTACCTCAAGAAATGTGATAGGCAGTCAGAAAGTCAGAGCTGTCTAAAAGCTGTGTAAATTCCAGTATATATACCAGGGGTCCTCAAACTACAGTCCGCGGGCCGCATACAGCCCGCTGAAGACATTTTGTCTTGCCCGCTGGGCCAGCCAAAAAGAAAAAAGAAATCGAGAGTGAAAAAAAAAACGGCACCAGCCGGCAAATAGCTAGGCTGCTCGCTGGGTCCTTGACTGTGAGGACCCAGCGGGTTGCATCCTCGACTGCAAGCCCCGACTTTCACTTGCTGCAGCCAAAGGAGCAACAGGACAGGAAAGGATGAGAGCACACCAGGTACAGTGCATTGCAGTGTCCAGTGTATCCATGTACAGTGCATTGCATTGTCCAGTGTATCCGTGTACAATGCATTGCGGACCAGTGAGTTACATTGTCCAGTGCATTGGTATACAGTGTGTTACAGTGTACAGTGCTTTTTAAACATTGTATTTTTTTTTCCTGTTTTTTTGCACTACAGATAAGATATGTGCAGCGTGCATAGGAATTTGTTCATATTTTTTCAAACTATAGTCCGGCCCCCCAACAGTGTGAATGTCTGTGAACTGGCTGTTTAAAAAGTTTGAGGACCCCTGATATATACCATAGTTTGTAGACGCTATAACATTCACGCAAACCAATCAATATGCACTTATTGTTTTTTGTTTAATTTTTTTTTTTATCAAAGACATGTAGCAGAATACATTTTGGCCAAAATTTATGAAGAAATTAGATTTTTTTTTTTGTTAGAATCAAATAATGTTATCCCATGTGTCCATGCACACTTCTTTGTAGTCTAGAGGCATATTTTAAGTTCCACTTTTAGGAGCAGAGAAAAAACTTTCTGGTTTGCAATTTTTCTGAGCGATTTTCTGGCATAAATAAAAAAACAAACACTCCTAATCACTGATAAGTAGGTTATTAAGGAGTGGGCGAGCATTGTGGAGCCTGTCAGCCAGTCCTGGCCAATGATTCATGGCCGGCACCTGCTGATCAGCTGTGTGCAATCGCAGCCCAGAGCTCTGTGTTGACAATCAAGGCGGAGCTCTATACAGAGGGATCGATCTCTGTGTTTCTCATCCCTTCAAAGAAGGAATGAGAAACTTAGAGATGTTAGTAAAAAGCAACACACATTACACATAGTTAGGCATGCATTTAACCCCTTGATCGCCCTAAATTTTAACCTCTCTCCAGCCAGTGTCATTAGTATAGTGACGCTGTATAATGTCACTGGTGATGTCATTGGCGGTTAGTCATTCCCCCCAGCGTCAGATTACCGCCACACTATCACAGTCCCATTAGAAGTCGCTGATCAACGCCATTAGTAGTATAAAAATAAATAAAAATTCCAGTATATATTTCATAGTTTGTAGGCACTATAACTTTCACGCAAAGCAATCAATATACACTTATTGGTTTTTTTTTTAACTTATCAAAGACTTATAGAAGAATACATTTTGGCCAAGACAGTGCAATTACCAGTTAAAGGAACACAGTGCAGTATAGCAAAAAATGGCCTGGTTATGATGGGAGTAAAATCATTTGGAGCTAATGTGGTTAAAAAATACAATGTGCCCCTAAATCCAGTGGCAATCACGATAAACACTGCTGCTGACCCGGAAAAAAAAAAGCTCTGCATCAGACGCTGGCTCCCACCGTCTGACGGCTTTGATTCATAGCTGCCATTTTTTCAGCTCCTAGTGTGCATGGAATCTAAAACATCTCTGTACGTATTACATGCTTCTTCACTGCACTCACCTACTATGACTTATACATGCAGTGTTATTCTCACGTTTGTTATTAACCATAGTAATAACCTAAGGAATAACTGCATGTGTATGCCACAGTATGAGTACAGTGAAGAGTACACAGTTGTTTGTATGACCTTTTATTTCAGCCTGTTTTTTCCACCTGAATGGTTAATATTATTTTATTATTATATTGTTAATATTTTCTCCATTTTGAAGGGAGAAAAAGTTGATCAGCTAGGTTGAATATGTGTATGAATATTGAACTTTTGAATATTTGTTGGTAGGTTATCCCTTTGCAGGGAAAAAAAGTGGATCAGCCAAGTTGGATTTTTAGAGCCCATTGTGTAAGATTTTTTGCAATCTGAGTCAAGCATGATCCAGCTGCCAAACATCTATAGGTACCTTTTTTATATCTGTGTTTTAAGATGGGTTAATCTGTTGATCTGTCAACCTCTTTAGGTGGAGTGAAACTGGGACTGGGAGACTTTATATTCTACAGTGTCCTTGTTGGGAAGGCTTCAGCCACAGCTAGTGGAGACTGGAACACAACACTGGCTTGCTTTGTTGCCATTCTGATTGTAAGTATGGAACACATTTTGGTCCTCCATAAAAGTTCTTAAAGTAGTAAATACCTGTGTACATGGGCATTTGTCTGCTTTTCTATTGTTAAACAAGTCACTACAAATGCAAAAGCGGCTTAAAACAACTCCTAAACTAATAAACAGCACAGAAGCAGGTTAAGGTGGAACAACTATATATTTCCCTTGCCTTCTGAGTCTGATGTTCATATAACGAAGTCCTTAAGGTGTTTTTTAACATGTCCTCTCAGGCAAAGATTTTTTTTTTTTGCCTGACATTTGCACCTTTTTAATAACTGTCAGTAGCAACAAGTTGATTTTTGCAGTTATCACATCTCTTCCATTAGCACTATATGCTACCCCAACTCATGTGTACTCATAAATTGGTATAATTCAGTAATAACTTTTTTTTTTCTTGATACATTTAGTGGTAATAGGCTATAGTAAGAAATCAGAATTTAGAATGTCACTGAAAGCAATGAAATACAACTATTTTCACTTCAATCATCTCATCTCACTAGGTCATTTTGAACTGCCCAACAATATTTCTAAGCAGGTGAATAATTTTCAAACCAAGCAGGATTTTTTCCAAAGTGTTTCTTGTAATGCAAATTTGCTGCTTTTTTTTTTTACAGGGTCTGTGCCTTACTCTTTTACTCCTTGCCATTTTCAAGAAGGCTTTACCTGCTCTGCCCATCTCGATAACATTCGGACTTGTATTTTACTTTGCCACAGACAATTTAGTACAGCCTTTTATGGACCAATTAGCATTCCACCAGTTTTATATTTAACTTCTGAACACTTGTTTTCCTGGGACTTCTTTTCTTTTTTTCCCTTCAAAGTGACAGCATATGTGAACAGCTAACAGAAAACAGCATTTAATTCTTGATTTGATTCCTGAAATCTGAGGAAATGTGTTGATTGCCCTGTTCATTTTGGCAAAGTACATTCATGTTTTTTGGTTTATCACATCAAGAAAGGAGTTCCACTCATTTGAGCTTTTTTTTCCATTGTGGTGGCATTTTTTTGAAACTGCAATGTGTCTCCTGATGAAAAGTGGGCATGGTGAGAAAGGGGACTTCAACCATATTCCTCACCTACTGAATGTGCCACTTCTGAAAACTCTTAACAAGGCTCAGCAGCAGCTGTGTGAAACTGAAGACCTTCAAATTAGGGTATTCAAATGGGACGCAGACCATTAGAGATGTCTAATTTTATTTTACCCTCAAGAACAAATGGAAAGGGCTTTGTTTTTTTTTTTTTTTGTTTTTTTTAAACTGGAATTCCCACTAAGCTGGGAGTGAATAACACTGTAATATAAAGCAATACATGATCTTCCAATAATAAACACTGTTGGAGTCTGTTAGTACATAAGACGTGTCACTCCTTTAACAAACCATTACTAACATATCAGTCTAAATAAGAAAACATTCAACAAAAAGTGTGTGTGTGTGTGTATATATAATTATAATATATTACACACACACACAGTGGGTATAATACGTCTACATACCCCTGTTACTATGTCAGGTTTCTGTGATGTAAAAACAGAGACGTTCTATCTCTCAAATCTAAGTATTGAAAGTGTGATCTCTGTAACTTACAGTTGTGATGAGATAGTGATACCTCCAATCTTAGTTGAATAACACAGACAGTGACTTGATCCAGATGACACCTTGTAGATCTATTGAAGTTTATTCCATAAACTGAGAGAATCTTACAACAATGAACATTGGATAGGTCAATATATCATAATGTGATACTCCATAAGACATGAGGCTTGAAGCTGAAGTGCATTACTTGGAAATGAATAAAAGGGTGGAGCTATCTATACAGCATGAACTAAACCAAAGGAAAGGGAGGAGCAGAGAACACAACACTTAAAGGCATATGACAGTCATGTGAAACATGACAAGACATCATTTCAGTACTTTTTCCACCTTTAATGTAACCTATAAACTGTACAAGTTGAACAACAAACTGAAATCTTTTAGGTGGAGGGAAGTAAAGATAAAAAACAAATGTGGTTGCATACGTGTGCACATCCTTAAACGTATACTTTTGTTGAAGCACCTTTTGATTTTATTACAGCACTCAGTCTTTTTGGGTATGGGTCTATTAGGATGGCACATGTTGACTTGGCAATATTTGCCCACTCTTCCTTGCAAAAACACTCTAAATCTGTCAGCTTGCAAGGACATCTCCTATGCACAGCCCTCTTCAGACCTCCCAACAGATTTCCAATCGGATTAAGGTCTGGGCCATTCCAAAACTTTCATCTTCTTCTGGTGAAGCCATTCCTTTGTTGATTTGGATGTATGCTTTGGGTCGTCATGCTGAAAGATTAAGTTCCTCTTCATGTTCAGCTTTCTAGCAGAAACCTGAAGGTTTTGTGCCAATATTGACTGGTATTTGGAACTGTTCATAATTCCCTCTACCTTGACTAAGGCCCCAGTTTCAGCTGAAGAAAAACAGCCCCAGCTCCATGCTTCACTGTGGGTATGGTGTTTTTTGGTGATGTGCAGTGTTGTTTTTGCGCCAAACATATCTTTTGGAATTATGGGCAAAAAGTTTAACCTTGGTTTCACCAGACATAACACTTTTTCCTGCATGCTTTTGGGAGACTTCAGATGGGTTTTTGCTAAATTTAGCTGGGCTTGGATGTTTTTCTTCGTAAGAAAAGGCTTCCATCTTGCCACTCTACCCCATAGCCCAAACATATTAAGAATACAGGAGATTGTTGTCACATGTACCACACAGCCAGTACTTGCCATTTATTCCTGCAGCTTCTTTAACCACTTCCCGCCCAGCCTATAGTAAAATGAAGGCCGGACGGTATTCTCATCAATCCGGGAGGGCGTCATATGATGTCCTTCCCGAATCGCGCCTTGCGTGTGCCCGCCGGGCTGCGCTGTGGCGATATCTGTCACTAAGTTGGTATAGCTGCAAAGGGTGGGCCAACTCAATACTGAACCCTACGGATTAAGACTGGGACAACTGGGAAGTTCATATGTGTGTGTAAAGGCAGGCGCCCCAATACTTTACTGTTTTTGTTCTTTTATAGATGTGTAGTAAATTAGCATGTAAAGGGCATCTGCACAATAATACCAGCATGTACTGATTTAGATTGGAGAAGTTGACACCCACCTGCTTCCTGAGCAACATCTGGGACCTGTGGCCTGCACCTCAGCCTATCTTTAAACACTGCGATACTATAAAGATACCACAAGACTTCTAAAGCCAGTCAGATGAGCAAACACAATGCAACCACCCTCTTGCAAAACTTTCACCCTGCTGGTCAGTGAAAAAAATAAAAAGTGAACAGAAGAGATAGCTGGTGTTATTAGAGGTTGCTGATCTCCAGGGAAAAATAGCAGTCAGGACTGGGTTTCTAACATCCCTGATCAATCCTTACCCCAGATAGTGGCCAGCACAATGGGAAGGCTTCATAGACATAACATTTTTGCCTGATATGGCAAAAGTTCTCAGGGGTACATTTTTAGTTTTCTTTTTAAAAGATAAAGGTTATTAAACTTTTTCAAAAGTACAACACTTAAACAATATGTAAACCTAACATTTCACATTGCTGGCCTGTGCCTGCTGTACCATGTAATTATATGAAAAAGTATCCCTTTCTCTTTGTATTGCTTCCTTTGTTTCAAATACCCAGTGTTCCTACCAGTGTCTCTGCTTTCCTAATGAAAAACGAACCTCACCGGGCATAAGAGCACAGCATGGTCTCCTAGATTGTAAGCTCTAACGAGCAGGGCCCCCTCTGTCCCCCCCCCCCCCCCCCGCACAGCCCTTCACCTGGAAGTTCAGAGTGCTGCTGTTTCTCCTCCCTGAGCTTCTTATGCAGCCAAGAATTGAGAAGAGGAAAAAAAAAGTACTTATATATTTTGTATGTATACACTATTGCCTTGCCTTTCATTTCTATTTTAAACTAAATAGGTTGTTTTACAAGGTGAGGGTTTACATATACTTTGTTCAGCACTAACAATTTAAAGTATACAGTCATTCAAGAGCAAAATGCAAATGGAATGATAAAGAAGGAAAGTAGCAATGAATTCACAGAAATATCTGCGTATAACACGTAAAAGCATACTTTGCACTTGTACAGTCTGTTCATGTATGTAGGTGATAACAAACATGTTGCATAGAGTATAAGTAGAGGGGTTATGGAGTGATAGGAAAGGGGGAATATTAGGAAAGGTAGAGATGAATAGGGCCTTGTAGGGGAACGTGGACTAATTCTGTAGTTGCCATAAAGGGAACTACAGCTTCTACGTGAGAAACCAAACATAATTTAACCACTTGCCCTCCTGAGGATTTACCCCCCTTCCTGACCAGGCCATTTTTTGCATTGCGGTGCTGCGTTACTGTAACTGACAATTGCGTGGTCGTGCAATGCCCCACCCAAATGAAAATTGACATCCTTTTTTTTTCTCCACGAATTGCTCTCTTTCGGTGGGATTTGATCGACTGCGGTTTTTTTATTTTTTGCGCTATAAGAAAAAAGACAATTTTGAAAAAAAATAACAATATTTTGGACTTTTTGCGATTTAAACATGCCCATTAAAAAAATTTAAAAAATCTAATTTCACCATAAATTTCGGCCAAAATGTATTCTGCGACATGTCTGCTAAGAAAAAAAAAAAAATCCCAATACGTGTCAATTGATTTACATGAAAGTTAGCGTTTGCAAATGGCGGTATAGATACCGGGATTTTTTTTCTTTCTACTAGTAGTGGCGGCCATCAGCAACTTGTAGCCAGAATGCGTGACTAAGGCTGCCATTCTGACATGGGGGGGGGAACTAACTTGGTGTCACTGACATCCCCAGTGACACCAGTACAATGGCACTGGGCAGGAAGGGGTTAACATGAGGTGATCAAAGGGTTAACTATATGTAGGGTGTTTTACTAAGGGGGGGGGGGGGGGGGGGGGGGGTGTGCTTCACTGTTAGCACACTGTTCGGACACACAGCATAGCCATCCCCATCAGTGTGTCTGAGCTGACTGGGGAAGACTGTAAACAAAACAGTCTAGTGAGCATCTCCAACGGGGAGGAAATCACCAGGTGCCAGAGGGTACTTACCGGCCAGAGCCCGTTGATTGGGGGCGCATCCCCTACCCGGAAATGCAAAATCGTGTGTGTGTATATATATATATATATATATATATAAAATGTGTGTGTGTTTTTGCGCACCGTGCCACCCTGTAGCAGTATTTCTGCTATAGGGCGGTCGGGAAGCGCTTAATCATATAAATAAACTGAACTTTCACCAGTCTCTGTGTTTCAATCCAGGCTGCCTTTGTCAAACTTGTGGGGGCTGTTATATTCCAAATAGACAAGTTTATCAAGTGGTATAGTTGCAATAATAGTAGATCTCCATATATGACATGTGGGTGGGGGTAGTTAGATGGAAACTATCATTAACATTATTGTTTATGCCCAGAGGTATTATCAGTGGGTTTACTGCCAGCATCAGTCCCTCCACTTCATTAACTACTACCTCTTGCTAAAAGGATTGAATGTAGGGGTACATCCAAACCACAAGAATAAAAGTGTTTATGCACATCTGTGCCATTTTACATTTACATTCTATTGTATAGTAGACAGCTTATGTGGGTTAAGTAGTCTTGGTATAGAAATTGAAGTTGTATAAACCTATCCCTGGCTGATATTGAGGAGAAGATATTGTTGTATACTTTCATCCCAATCTTCATCTGTCAAGTCTAAGTCTTTAACATCTTGTTGCCATTTACGAAAAATAAGTTAAGAGCTTTAG